TCTTAACTCATGTATTTACACACCCTTTCATCAGTGAGAGCCTCATTCACATTGCACCACTCCCAACTTTAAACCCAGACCAAGTGGCCGTGCACCACCAGCTACAGAACAGCTGCTCACCCTGGCTAACCTTTGGAAAGGGTCTACACAAGCGGCACAGGGGCAAAATAAACCCTTTAGAACCCACAAAACACAGAAGCTATTGCTCAAGCTATTAACCAACAGAGCTCATTATCAGACAGTTTAATTTCTTTGCTTTGAAGGCATTGGGTGTAACCCTGCAGGTCCCATTTCACAATCCCAGTCTTCAGCTGAACTCAGCTGGTAAGTGACCCCCACACCAGGATCACAGGGCAGGTCTGAGAAAAATAACTATCAGTAACTGTTCAACTTTCACTGGTTTGCTTTTAACATGAAGAAATAACGGAAGCCAGTCTGTCCCTTCCAGCTCAGTTCTATTTTCAGGCTCCTTTAGGCAATGATCCTGCTGCAAATACTCCATAGGGATATTTAAAGTACTTGGAAAACGTTTTTCATCTTTGATTATAAAACAAAACACACACAAAAAAAAAAACAAAGAGGAACTGACTTATTGACTTGTGACCTTTTTATCATCATCCACAAGAGAAACCTGTCCCTATCCCCATCCTGTGTCTCAAAATTATAGACCAACAGAACCTTTAAGAAACAGAATAAAGGTATCAAATATTTGTGTTTTCATAAAGCCTTTCATAAAACTACTGGGCAACTCAAGGGTGCCTGTTAAGGCTCCATCAGGGTTCAAGGATGGCCGATGGACAGAAATAATACAGGGATAAATGCAGAGCAGAAGTTTTTCAGGATGAATCACTTTCTCCATCTCAAACCAGTCAGACAGCCTTGACTGGTCCTACGACCCCTCCTGTAAGCCACACTTTGGCACAAGCCCTTAGAGGCTTTGGCCAGATTGCAAAACAAGGCAGGTTTTTGCCAAAATGTTTATAAGATTAAGGAATTACCAACTGACTGCCTTGGAATTTTAAGACTAACCACCTGAAAGCAAAGCACTTGGTCAGCCCCCAGTATTTGAGAGCTCAACTGTACTGGCAAGTATTCACAAGTTGAATAAATTAGAATAATCTAAGCAAAGAAACCCTAACAAATTCCCAAACCACCTTTTGGACTCCAGGGAGCATCTCCAAGTGTACTTTTACTAGCAGAGCCTGCAAGCAAGCTGAGTTTCCATCATTAGGAGAAAGCTTTGCCTCCCTCAGTGTGTAGAGATCATAAAGCAGAAAGGACAAAGCCACCTCTGACACAGAATGTAATCTAATAAAATAAAATAAGCAACACAGCATCTACACAGCAAAGCCTGTTTCTGGCTCCTCTGCCACACAGATATGCACATTACCTCAAATACCAGCTACTTTGAACACTGCAACCTCAAACAGGAGTGGGGAACACAAAGTTTAACAACCAAAAAAACAGTGACACAATTTCTTAATTAATTACTAAGTGACAAAGTGGGTTCTGTTTACCTACTGTGAAATACAGAGATACTATTAAAGGATTCAAGTAACTCCCATAACTGAAAGTACAATAGAAAAATGGGAAGAAAAGGTCTACTTGAAGTATCATGGTATTGTGCAGGCTTTCAGTGGGAGAAAGGAATGGTTTTGACTTGGTTTTAGGTCTGGGGTTTTTTTTAGACAGCCTAATGAATTTGCTTTTACTGTATTTAAGAAGTATTTTAAGGTTTTACTGCAGCTCAGCACATTTAAGTAAATCTTCTTGCTCCTTCTGTCTGTCTGAAACAAACAAGCAGGTGCTGCTGGCCTGAAAAGCTTTTGCCCTCTCCTTCCCTAAGCAACTGTGGCCTTCACCTGATGATTGGAATCAGGTGAGAATCAGAGAGAACAGTTTAATGATTGTGTTTTAACAGGAAAAAAAAAAACATACTTGAAATAAACCTCCAAAACACTGTGAAATATTGGCTTTTTGGTGTATTGGCCACTACCTCACTGTAACACATAAGACTTTGCAGCAGAACCCACTGCTCCTGCTGCTCCTCTGTGATGAGCAAATGAAAGCTGCTTTAGAGATGGGAGAACTGGGAAAAACCAAAACAAGAAAAAACAAGAGATGATGAAAACAAGATTTAAAGACAGAGTTGGCCCCAGGAGAAACAGAGCTCAACACACCAAATAGATGATGATCCCTGTTCCCATCAGACACTGCCATCACAGCATCACAACCACGGAGTATTCCCAGTTGGAAGGGACCCACATCAGCCAGTCCCTGAGCAGACTGTGACACAAGACATTGCACAGGCAGCTGTCACCTCCACGGCTCAAAAGAACAAAGGAACTTCAATATGCATTTTATAAAGGTTTTTCACAAAGCTTGCACCAACAGGCACCACAGAGTAAGGCTGACACAGGATAAAGCACTGCTCAACCACTGAGCCTCTCCACTCCTTGTGAGCAAACGCTCAGTGATGCTCTGGTTTCTCCACATCTGCACAGCAGCCTTCTTACAACCAAGTTTGACCAGCTCTGAATATTGTTCTTCAAGTCTTCCATCAGAAATAGCTCAAGCCCTTGCATGCACATCACAGGGTTTACTGGGGATAAAGATCTCCTGATTAGGAAAAAATTACAAGGAAAAAAAGGTTTTGACAGGGAGCTGTCAGTTCCAACAACAATTTATCACGGAGGGACTTCGGACTGTGAACGAAAGTTGGCACTCACAGACAGTCCTTCATAGAGCTCAGAGCAAAGTCAGGGCATTCCATCTCCTCTTGGCATTATAGGCATGGACTTCTTACCTCAGTGGTTGCAGCTCTGCTGAGTAATGCCTTTCAGTACATCAGCTTCCCAAGGAGAAACAAATACCTACTCCAAAAATATCCGCTCCTGTGTGAGTGAACGCTTACCTGGGACAGGAGGTGGCAAAGCAAAGGCCAAAAGCTCAGTCACACACACTCTGGCCCCAGCCCAGAGGATGAAGCCGCTGGCTATTTTCAGAAAGGATGAAAAAGGGAAGATGGAAGATCTCTTCTACATGAACTCATGAGTGCAGTTTTTATTTTCTTTTAAAGCACACCCAACGACTTCACAGTACTCCAGCTTACCCAAATACACCACTAGAATATCACAAAGAAATCTTACAAAGCACAAAACTATTTGCCACCCAACACACCCCACACAGCGATGCACTTCAGCCTGCTCACATCTCCAGCGTGCTGTGCCTTTGCCTCGGATTTGTTCTCCCTGCCAGCACCAGGAGGGAGCCCGACCGGGGGTTCCCCAGCCCCTAACTCCATCTCGAGTCCAGGACAGCCTGTTTGATTTCAGAGGCCGGCACGAATTCTCCCAAAGGGCGCAGGAAGGACTCTCAGGAGGGCTGGTTTTGCTGACCTGCTGGGCCAGCACGGTTCACACACACACAAACCGCCTCCTTCCGAGCTCTCACTGTCCCTTCTCCGGCCAGTCCACGCCCGCTGCCCTTCCCTGCCGCCGGGGAGCAGCCAGGCCCCCCCAAACCCTGCGGGGCAGGGGCACCTTTCAGGCGGACACTTCCATCGCCGCGGGAGCCGCGCCCTCCGCCGCCCGGAGCGCTCCGGGCAGGAGCATCCTCGGGAGCGGCGCTCAGGGACCCCCCGCCCGCCGCCCACCGCCGGCCGCGCCCCGCGGGAGCCCCCGGCGCGGGGGAGCCCCGCCGTACTCACGGGCTCCGTCCGGCCCCGGGTAGCTCAGCACCAGCACGGGCAGCCCGGCCCCGCCGCGGGGCGCCGGGGGTCTCCAGAGCGCGGGCGGCGCGGCCGCGGCGCCGCCTCCATGGCCGGGGTAGAGCAGGAAGAACGGCGGCGAGGAAGGGCGCGCCTCCTCCTCCTCCTCCTCCGCTGCTGCCGCCGCCGCCGCCTCCCCGGGCTCGGCCCGCCGCTCCATGCCCGCGGGCACCTCCGCTCCGGCCCCGTCCCGGCAACTTTCGGCCGGCGGCGGCAGCGCTGCCCGCTCCGCCTCCGCCATCGCCGCCCGCTCCCGCCCCGCCCCGGCCGGGAAGCGGCGCCGCGGCCGCCCCATCCTCCGCCCCCGGGGCCGGGGATGTGCTCCGGGAGCGGCTCTGCCCGGCGCGGGGGGAGCGCGGGGTGACACAGACACCGACAGCGAGATCCCGAGGGGCTCTTACCCGAGAAGCGAAGCCATTGCAGCGTGTGCTGCCTCCCCCCGGCGTTCTCTGATCCTGGGACAAAAGGCGACAATACAAAGTCCAAGTGTATTGTTTAACATTCAAACTGTCAAATAGATTGTCTTTCAGAAGACAGGGATAAACACAGGGCACTTAATGCCGAGGGTAGTGTTGTCACCAGGCAGGCAGCACATAAATCTGCCAGTTTTAAAGAAGACCTTCGGTGCACTCAGGTTAAGCTGAAACACGCAGCTGCTTTCTTTTCCAATCTCACATTAAAACTACAAAAGCAAAGCTGTAAAGGCAACTGATTTCTGGAGGCTGATTTTCCAGCGCTGCCCCAAGTCATGCAACATGCTGCAACTAATTCAACAGATGCTTTAATCCATTTTACCAATCTCACAGCTGAAGGTTTGAATTTCTACTTGCTAATGAGAGTAAAGCAATGTCCATCCAAACTGTGTCTGATGGGGTATTATGGAACACAACTAGGAAAGCATTAACAAAACTTAAGGCAGCAGCAGGTATATTTCCACGTGAGATAGTCAATATATTTTCCTCACCCTGTATAAATAGAAATTCCAGTCTGTGATACAGAAAGCATTGTCCCCCCTCTGCCATTGTGCTCTGTACAAAGACAAAAGAGCAGCTCATACCCTAGAGCTTCCTACACTCTGCCTATGTCACTTTAAATAGGAATCACTTCCATGCAAGTGCAGGCAGGACTGACTATCCCTTGGATCACCCTGCTCCAGATGAGCAGGTGCAGAGGACCTGGGGCAGGTACCTCCGTGGCTGTGGGGGCGATTGAGGTGAGGCAGAGCAGTTACCTGAGGTGAGTCCCAACCAGCATTAGGGGCTGCTAAGGCCAACAGTTCTCTCCAAGCAGCACCCTGGCCAGGACAAGTGCCATCCCACAGCTGAAGCTTGTCCTTGGCAGTGTCAGCACCTTCTCCAGAAACTGCGCTGGAAAAGGAAAAAAAGCAGCATTAACTTGGCTCCACTTCTTGCTTCTTTTCCTGATCGTTATCTATGATCCTTCCCTGATTTTACATGTGTGCATTCTCATTGGGATTTTCAAACCTGTTCGCCACCAGGGATTTCCCTTTGGCACAAGTATTTCTTAAAACAGCAGTAGCATCCCCCCTCCCATGGGGTTAATAATCCTGGCCTTCTCATGATCACTGATACATAAAACCATACAGGAACGATATAGATGGCTTTGTCCAATCTCTGAACTAACCAAGTGGACATAATGCCCAGTTAATCTTCATTAAAGTGGGAGCCATGCTGTGCCATCTGCCGGCAGCCAGCACCGGGCAGCTGACACGCCGCGTTCCCTCCGGCCTCCAGCCTTAATCCCAGTATTTCTGGGGAGCGTGTCCGTAATGGCACGCTAATTGGTTATTTCCCTCATTTACTGCTCACATGGAGTTGCCAGAATTTTGCTTGCCAGCTGCCTGGAGCTTTCCAAGGAAGCAGAGAGCCAGATCCATCCAAGACCCCGAGTGAGCCCTTCATTTTTGTACCAAGTGTGAAACATGCACGAGCAGGTGCTGTAGTAATGAGATCAGGGAGCACCTCTGCTGGATATTTTCCACATCCCATGTGATGCCTGTTACACAACACCATTCCTCACCCGAAAAAGCACCTAAGCTGCTTTTTTTTTCCAGCACCTTACCTCTTACTGACCTCCTGGCCAAGCCTCCAGAGCCTAGCTCGGTGTTATCAGTGGCAGCCTCCATCACAGTCCCAGTTCCCAGTGGGAAAAGCTCTAGTTCCCTCCTCAGCAGGGCTGGGACCCTTCTCCCTTGGAAAGAGCAGCCAACACTGTTTATTGCTGCCAGAATCAGGGCAGATGAGTGAGCACAGGTGAACAACATTTATCCCCACAGCTCAAAGGTTACATATCTCACCTCTGGCCATCAGGGTACAGAGAGCACTGCTCTAACCAGAAGATTTGTTCAGTCCATCTGGACATAGGACTGATCCCATCTGTCCAGCTTAAGCTTACTAACCACCAGCCTTGAAAATTACCAAAATATTCCTGCCAGGAACAGGCCTGGGCTATAAAGCTTTATATCACAACCCTACAGAAGCACATTTCACTCACAGAGGATGAGCAGAGCACCTGCATGTTTGAATTACAGCACCTGGCCTGGCACAGGGTCAGGTACACACACTCACATCTTGGCTTCCCCCAAGAATATCACACACACAGAAAAAAAACCCATGATATGCACTGACATTTCTTTGCAATTACTCTCCTTAATTGCCTATGGGAAACTAACACCTTTCAGATGGTACTGGCAAACAAATCAAGGCATGGGCTCCCCAGACCTGTTCCAGACTCAGTACAGGTGTTGCCTGAGACAATTTTTGTTAAACTTTAGGAAAATTAATCACTTTTTCCTCCTTTACAGCCTGGGCTGGAAATGGCCACTCACAGTCAGCTCCTGGCAAGAACCTGACGTGGGGTTAAAATGCATTTACCCACTAGAAGGCATGGAATTATTCCAAACATCCTGGAAGTTTACTTGGCAGCTGAAGACATCACACCTTACCCACTTGTCCTGCAGCAATGCTACTCAGTCCTGTAGCAGCAGACAAAAGTTAGCATTTATCATAGGTGAACTTAATGTGTTATCACAGACAGATAGGTAGGAGATACAGATAAGTCCTTGCTTGGCTTCTCACTGCACTCAGGAGGGGACACACTATTTTAAACCACATGGGATTAATTAAAGACAACCTAAAAGTAGTGCTTGTACATTTAAGAACTAACAAAGGAGTTAATTAAAATAATTAAATACCATAACCACATCTCTCCTTCTGCAGCTCAACATAGGAACAGGATGGACCAGAACACAACAGCAAAAAGGAGAAGACAGTGAGAGCTGCTGAGCCCCCTTCTCAAGCCACCCTCAGGAGATCCATCTATCCCATCCCATCTCCCCACCAATCTCACATGGCCCATTTCACTCCCTTTGCTTGACACATCGCTTGCAACCTCTCAAAGTTCCCTGTTTATGGAAACATGGACAGCACCACAACAGAGGAAAATACCTTAACACATGGGCAAGTGTGCAAAGTGCCCTGTGCCACTTGGAGATGGCACCTTCTGAAAAAAAAAAAACCCAAGTACCACCCCACCCCCAACTTCCTTAAGAATAAAATTCACAACATCCTTTACAAAACTTTTATTGGATTCAGGACTGCTACTGGCAGCTCTTATAGAAAAGTGAGTGTCACTTGAGCTTCCTGCTCTTCTTGACGCCGGCGCGGATGCCGGACAGCTCCCCGGCGTATCTGTGCAGCTCCCTGCGCACCTCCCGCACCTGCCCCTTGCGGCGGATCTTGGCACGACGGAACTTCTCCCGATGCTTCACCCTGGGGTTGCGATCAATCTTCCTCCTTTTGGGCGTGAGGCCTTTGTTCTTGATCATCTGGTAGGTCACCCCCCTCTTTTTACTGGGATCCTCTGCTTCCGACACCGCTTCTTCTCCAAGCACGTCTTCATCTCCAGGTCTCTTCCTCTTGAGTGCCAGCTTCTCCTCCATCATCTTGTAGTATTTTAGGGCAGCCTCCTCATCCAGCTCCGACTCACTTGATGACTCAGAAGCAGCAGCAGCCTGGCCATTAGCAAGTGCAGAGGCCTGTTTTGATTTGTTTTTCTTGCCATCCATGGTGACAAACACTGCAAACTTGTTTTCCTTCCGTAACCTCTCTTCCTTCTTGTCATAGTAGCTCCTCAGAAGCACACGGACCTGCGGGGATAACTTCTGGTCTATGACAGCAAGGTCATTGATGATATTTCTGTAAGCCACCAGCCGTTCGATGATGGGGTGACTATGAACCGGCACCCTCTTGGACTTCAAAACCAGATAGAAGCTGATATTAGCACAGTAGTTCAGGTACAGATGATACTTGGTCTGCAAATAGCGACTGCCCTTCCCTTGGGGGATGGTGCCGTCTTTGACCATCTGCAGCAGTGGGTGCAGCTCATCCTTGATTTCCATCAGCTTCACTTCCAAGTCCTCCATCAGCTGCAGGAGCTCAGGGGACTCCTGCTTCAGCAGCTTCAGTTGCTCCTTCTTGGAAAGGGCCTGCAGATTCTTGTCAATCTTCTGCCCCGTGCTATCGTGGGTTTTGCGCTGCTCAGCCAGGTAGCCCTGAATCATATCCAGCCCGTAGTCATCCTCCCCCAAGTCCTGCACTAACCGCCTCTGGATCACCTGAGCCTCCTGCTCCTCTTCCTCCTCCTCAGCATCGATCTCCTGCTGGCTCCGCTTGCCCTTGGCCTGGGCATCACTCCCGTAGTCCGTGTCATAGTAAAGCTGCTTCCGCTGGCCCCAGGAGAGCTCGTGGGGGAGCTTCGTGTCCGGTCTCTTCTCCTCCAAGTCGCTTTCCATGGACAGGTCCCCATCTTCATCCTCAACCTCATTTTCCTCCTCCTCACCTTTCCCATCCTCATCTTCCTCCGCGTCTCCATCCTCATCCTCCTCTGCGCTGTGGTCCACGAAGAGATCCAGCCCCTGCTTCTCCTCCTCCTCCTCCTCCTCTTCTTCCTCCTCGCTGTCCTCCTCGGGCAGCTGCAGCCCCAGCACCTCCTCCTCCTCCTCCTCGTCGTCGCCGCTGTCCCCGGCCTCCTCGCCGCTGTCCAGGGCTGCCATCACGGCTCGGAACCGCGCCTCGTGGAACTGCTCCACGTCGTCCGCCAGCTCCTCGGGGCCGGCGCTGCCGCCGGGCGCCTCGTCCAGCCCATGGTCGTGCTCGGGGGACTGTGCCGGCGGCCGCAGGACGGTGCCGCGCCGGGTCCGCATGGCTCCCGCGGCTCCTCCGGCTCCTCCACACCGCCCCTTCCGCTTCCACCGCTCTCCTTCCGCTGCTCCGCCCGGCAGCTCAGCCCGGCCCCTTCCCGTTCCCGGTCCCGAGCGGGATCGGCCCCACGCCCACCCTGAGATGGTGATAACGCCCGCAGCCCCCGGGGAGGGGGTTCCGGCCGTGGCAGCTCTCCGCAATCAGTGATGCCACGTGGAAAAAGAGGGGGGAAAATAGCCTTTTTTTCCCTCCTCGGGCTTTTTTCTTCCCCTAAAAGCACAGCCCCGTACCGTTGCTGTCTGTGTGGTCATCTTGCACGAGGGGGAAAAAAACACATGGAAAATACACCTGACACCTGAATCCACCTCCGCACTCCTTGGACCCATCCTTGTATGCAAATAGATCCATGCGTCCCAGACAAGGAGCGATTCTGATTTTTCAACACCCGAGGACCCCACATCGGGAGGGTTTTTAAGGCAGTCTCTACTTATCCACCTTTGAATTCTCATCCTGTGTTTGTGTACCTGTCATCCCTCTCAGAGCACCCAGCCCAGCCTCCCAGCTTTCCCAAGGGAAAAATCATGTTATTACTCAGCCACTTGGAAACAGTCTGCTTTGAAAAACTACAGGCAGCCCTTCCAGAAGAGCAGCTGGAATCACATTAGTGTATTCCGAGCTCAGAAACCCAGAACCTGATAAATTAAGCACCCCCCACGTCCCAGCAATAGCAGTTCTGTGTTCAGGAAGTGCAGGTGCTTTTTTTCTCACCACAGAACAGGTGCAGTTATATTTATAAATGCTCCTGTCCACCTCTCCATGGAAAAAAAAAATATGTCAAGCAAAGGTTCAAATTAACAGTGGTGTGCAAAACTTGACTCACTTTTAGGTGATTCATTTGGATTCTGGTCGATCTGATGGCAGACAGGTCTCATTTGTAACTTTGATATGCTCCTCCTCTCCACACAGTTACCTCTGGGTCAACACCTTCTTGCACAAAGGCAGGTTTTCCCTCAGCTGCCTTTTACAAACCTGTCCCTGCTGGTTTTCAGCCATCACCTCCCTGAATGCAGACCTGTAGAAGAAAGAGCAACAAGTTTAAGTTGGGTTTGGTATCATTTAATTTGTTAGCCACTCCTCAGGGAAAGTTCTCACTTATACTGGTTGGCCACTAAATGCAGCTGTCCCTGGTGATCAGGCTTTGTCATCTGGCTGCTCAATCCTGCTGGGTTTTTGTGTGAATCCAACCAGAGACAGCTGCAGCCAATTCCTGCAAGGTTAAAATTCCAGATAACTTTTGCAGGTGTGACTTAGCAAAATCCAGGACTCCCTCATTTCCCTGACCCTGATATTACCATCTAACTGACCTTATTTTGTTTCAAATCTGGCCTTTCAAAATTCAGAGCCTTAACAAAAGACTAACTTGCACTTGGACTCTCATGGATTTTAATGGCATTGACACATTGTCTCTCAACCCAAAGTTTATTTCCAAGAGCGGAAAACAGTGTACAGATATTTGAACTCTGTCCAAGACTTGCTGAAAACACCATCCACTTCTGGAGAAGCTGGATATGTCCTCCAGCATGAGTTAGTTCAGGCAGTTACCAGCAGCTGCTCAAGCCAAAGCAGTCTGCTGTGAGCATCAATGGAATCATTGCTATCAACACAATTATCAGGGAATGCTACGGGGTCTGTTTTAATCCACCATTTTCTTGGCACCCCAGTGAGAAAGGAGGAGCGAAGGGAAGCATAGGACAGACTGTGGATGGCGAGTTACCTGGAGAGACCCCGTGCCCTGGTGTCATCCTCGTCACCCGTCACAGCAAGGACACACACAGACAACTGTTCTGCCTGACTTCATCCAGGTACCTGCCCAGCTTCTTACCTGGAAAATCCTAGTTCAGCCTGTCAAGACCCAGCTGGAGGCACAGGACAAGTGAAAGGAGACTGAGACTGCAAGGCTGGCTCCCATTTCTTTTCCAGTGCTCAGTTATTCCTCCGCTGGCCTCTGCCTCACAGGGAGGTTGGGAGTCCAGCTCCTCACTCAGCCAGAAATGGAGCCTGGACTGATGGACTGCCAGTCCCTTGCCAAAACACCTGCTCGCCCAGATAAATTTTTTGGTAATTCAAAGTGTTACCCACTAAAAAGGAGATAGTCCATAGAAGTAACAGTCCATAAAACAGACCTTCCTCTCAAGAGCTTGCAGTCTTGCTAGAAACCCCAGAGACATGCAGGTGGCTGAAGGGGACTAAAAATAGCCCTCATGTCGCCATATCCAGACCGAAGGGACTGTACGCACACGTGTAGATTTAGCAACCGAAATCCAGATATGCTGAACACCAGCAGCCAGGGAAAACCACTGGAAACCACAGAAACACAGAACATAGTTCTGCTCAGTCTCTGCCTTGGGGTTAGAAAATACTCAGGTGGGGTTTTCCCTTGGATTTTCCCAGTGACATATTTTTATTAGTGTATTTTGGCAAAGCAGACCAGACCCAGCCTCCTTTGCATGTGCTTTATCCTGGTGCCTGCTTTCCCCCCTTCTTGAATAATTCTAAGAAAATGCTTTGTTACAGAAAAGGGTGACTGAAGCAAATAGTGCATTAAACAGACACCCCCAGCAGCCCAGGTGAGCCAGGTTTATTTACCTTCTGCAAAAGTGGGGCACAGGGAACATCTTGCCACTGCCTCAGAGAGCACTGCACACAACTGTTGGCAATACCTTCTGGGAGGAGGAGAGGAAGCAAACTCGAATCCTGCCCTCCTGTAGATGTATCCATGATGAGAAAACAGGCTTTGTAAAGACCTATGGCAGAACCCAATGCCCTGCAAGGAGCTGGGCCATCACCCATCATTGCCCCCCCAACTCCCACACTCACCTTGCACATGGGCACTGCTGATGTAACCTGAAAGCTCATTGCATCAGGCAGCTGCAGGGTGAGATGTTTGTGCTTGGAAAAGCTCAGGGCACAGAATCAGGGGGCTTGGAAGAACCCCGGGGTTGGGGACCCAGCCTCTGAAAAGGGAACTGGGATGCCTGGTAGCATTGCCTAATGACTTCAGCCTCTCAGAGAAGCCTGGCAAGAGCAATCAGGCCCTTGCTAAGACTGGGCTTTCCTTAAAAAGTGGCCTTTTCTGCACTAGACACATGCAAATGCTACAGGGACAGCTCTCACCATTGCAGGTTACATTGCAACATTTGTGTGTCAGAGTTCCATAAGTGATACTAAATCTGGGACAAAAGAAATCCAGGTCCTCTCCAGTATCTTCAGGAAAAGCCTGCACGCCCAGTACCTCAGGGTTTGGTTGGGACCTGACTCAGGACCTCTCACCACAAATCCCATGGAGTCCCTTTTCCATTCTCAAGGAAATACACTCCTGGATGCAGTGGGCAGAGCTGCTGGAAGAGCTCAGCTTGGCCCCAGAGCTGCTGTTGGCTTTACCTCTCTCACCCCTCCCCTCTCATCTTGCCTGCTTTGACTGCAGGCTCTCTGGGGGCGGCTCAGGCCCTTAATACAGGTTGGCACACAGCTGATCCAAACAGGACTCACTTGGAAGCCTGAAGTGGTTTTTTAGTATGACTTAAGTGATCTTTTAAGTCTGGTTTCTCACAGTTAGGAGCCAGAGCTGTGGTCCTTGGACTTTCTTACTTTAGACTGGCCCTGATGGCAAGATGTCCCCTAAGGACCAGGGTGGTTTTGCACCTCCTTGCACTCAAGCAGCTTCATTGCCTGTTAGAGATGAACAGGAAAAAACACCTCAATAAAAGCACAACCCCCTGCCCCCTTCCCCTCTGAAAGCCAGAGGTCTTGGTGCACTCACACACCTGGTTTCAGTCCCCAAAGCCACATTTCCCGTGTCAGTGCAGCCAGCCGGGCTGTTTATTTTAGGAAACCCATTTGCACACACCCTTATAGGCAGAGACAGGCTCCGCACCCACATTCTTCAAAAGAAGGGGAGGCAGGATGAAGAACTCTTGGTTGCTCTGCGTGGCCTTGGCCGTCTCCTTGGGGATCATCCTTGTGGCAGGTAGGTGGAAAACTGGGATTAAAATATCAGTGGCAGGTTTTCTGTAATCTACAACAGTCAAAGGTCCAAACTCTAAGCCTGCTCAAGCAATCATGGTTCAGTGGTGCTTGGACGCCTCTGGGTGTTTCTGCACCAGAGCTGTGTGCGTTTGGTTGCTGCCTTGAGGACAAAGTGATGTCTAGCTGCAAATTTAAACCTTGATGATTAGCCATTTCTTATCAGGTTGCTGAAGCAACAAACAGCCAACGTGCTTGCTTGCTCTTCTGCAGTGCTAGGGACCTTGCAAGACTTACGTGCTAGATTTAAAGGCTTCCAAAACCTTCCTGGTAATCCTGTCCTATGGCTGCAGCCAAGTTATTTTTGATAAAACAGTAGTTTGTCACGTAACTCGACTGAATTTCTTGAGAAATCTTGATTTGCACTGAGATCAGAGCGTGCTCCCAGCACACTCCTCAGTTTGGGTCTCAGGTCTCTGTTTGACAGTCTGAAGCCATTGTCATGCACGTGGTGCATCTGGTTTGCAGGATTACCTCAGTGCTCAAGGATAACCATCCCAACAGCATGGACAGCTGCATCCGTGCTTTTTCTCCAGCTTTTGGGAAAGGGCATCTTATTGCCCACCCAGGCAATTCTCTTGGGCTTCACAGTGTATCACGGGATGATCCAATATTGGAAAATGAGAAATTTTGTCCAAAAAACAGCTACGTAAGTATTGAGGAGGAAGGGAACACCTTAGCACAGGAAATCCAAACTGCAGACACTTAAAACAGCATTAAGAAATTTTGTACTTAAATACCTTCTCCCCAGAGAGACTTCACTGGGTGGCATATGGAGATATTGCTGACAAAATTATATTTTTTGAGCACTGTAATTTTACTTGAAAAATAAATGGAGTTGCAGTAACTTTTTACAGTGAAGCCAAGAGCATTACACAAAGAATTAAATCAGGACAGCATTTTTAGAGCGCATTCAAAAAACCCTGCATATGCATAAAATAGCGTGTTAAACTAATTTTAGAATTAAAACCTGCTCCCAAAGGCTTTGGGACAACCCCAAAGCCAATAGGATCTGACTTGAATATTGGCTTTGGATTAAGGGCTTGGAAAAAACTGCACACAACCTTATGTGGAATACAGCACAGACAGCAGAGCAAGGGCTGTGTGAAGGACAAGCCAGAGACCTTCCATGAGCCAAAAGAAAGACCAGGACAAGGAGCCAGGGACTAGAGAGGCTTTTCTGGGAAGCTTCTGCTTCAGAGAGAAGCGCTCACGTGGAGTGATGAGTTGGCAGAGAAGAAGCTTGCAGAGCAAAGAAGCCAAGTGATTTTTTTCCCAAGCTAGAAACTCCACAGAGGATCTTCTTCAGCAGGTGTTCTGCTGCCAAAGGCAGCCAAGGCCACAGAAACAGCACTTGAAACCAGCAGGTGAACTCTAGGGTCACTCTGAGACATCATTTCACACAGTTTTGGTGCCATTGTCCCAGATACAGTGCCTGTAACAATCTCAGAAAACCTGGAATGGGAGCTGATGAGACCAGTGTATTATGGGGGCCAGAAGGACCAAAGCTTTTAAGTCCAAGTGACTCCAAAGTCCTTTATAGACATGATTAACACAGATGTTTTCAGCCTAGTTCTTCTTTCTCTCCATGATTAAACCAAGGGGCAAGCAGAGCAGGCAAGTCCATCTACTTGCCCAGTAAGGCAGCATTGTACAACACCAGTAACATTCCAAAAGCTTCTGGGTGACACATGGGATGTTTTAGCCTGTTTTGACCGAGTTTCATATTATGTAGCATGCTGACAGTGTGGGAGACATACTCAAAGAGAGAAGAAACAGCTTGGGTAAGAAAATCAGGACCAGAGTTTTCCCTGCAAAGCACAAGCATCATCAGGGCCACCTGCCCTTCCCTGGAATCAATCCAGGTGCTGTATTGGTGCCCTCCTGGCATTCTAATCCCTTGGTTTTCTGCTAGAACAGCTTTCACGGCTTTTTTCCTTGACTCCAGGGTTGCATGTGCTGTGCTTGCAGGGTACCCCCTGGAGCCCG